AAGTTGATAATAGTTTCTTACCGCATCATACGAAGGTGTGATAGTATTTAGGCCCGGCAAAATGGGTATAAGTCTTGATTTTTGCTCTCAATTTTACTTTATATGAAGTGAGTTAACCTTGTGATGACGAGCTGATAGTTGCATTACTGGTAGTCTCAAAGACCTACTCAAAAGGAAAAATAATTAATGTCGTTGATTGCTGCAGCAAATATAAGTTTGCTTCATCGACAGTCCCATCACAGAATGTGATATGAAAAAATGCCTGGCCTTCCTTCAAATCCACATTGCTTCGTGACCCAAGGGCACTAGTGGCAATATGGCTGACTGGTTAACATGTCAAGTTCACGTGCTGCACTGTCGTGGTTCGAGTCCCGCCATGAATGTTGCTAAGACAGAGATGAGGACGAAATTCAACTATCTGTCCTTCATCACCTTAAACGAAATAGGGTGAACACAGTTCATATATCTGATTTACTGGTTGCCTCAAAAACCTACTCAAAAAGAAAAATATTTCCACTTTTCACGGTCTTCCAAAAGTCCTTCTTACCCTCATTCTGCACTGAAACTTCGACTTCATCTCAGCATCTTATCAGCAGCCTCGGCCGGATTCGAACCGTGCATGTGTGGCTGCACCATATACATGCCTTACAAAGTTTGAATTTTAAATTGTCACCAAAGTGAGTAGACTACTCATTTCATAAGTAGTTGCAGGGTTTGTTTGGAAACAGTCTGAAGTTAATTGACTTTATCGAGAGATCCCCGTTTTCCCGACGACATGCATGGTCCTCCGCGAAGAAGACCATCATGTAAACAGGCGGTCGCAATCGTGATCGCATGGACAAACGCGACTGACAGTCATCTTCCCTTTTTGTTATGTTGTAGGTCATTGCACCTGTTCGGCTTTTCCCACTGCTGGCAGTAGTCACGACGACGAATGCATCCAGCACCTTCATTCCGTCCCAGCCGGCGTCAGCCGGGTCCTGCCAATTTCGATGGTTTATACGCCGTCGTTATTTTCATCTGCCGTCGGGGCACCGAGGCCTGTTTGGCTTGGGCTCGCCCGATCCCGGTTGCCCTAAATCAAATTGACCCCTTTTTCTATTCCCACTTGAAGGTACAGAAGGCCACTTTTCCCGACCCGCAAGTCGGACTGCTCCGCCTTCACCCCCGTCCGCCTCGTCCCTTCGGCCGCTGCCACTTGCGTTTGAAGTAGGCACCATCCGTTCCGCCGACCCTTTGAACATGCCTCGCCTCAACTCGAAACCTGTTGCTGACGCTTCTGCCGTCCAAATGAAATGTCTCACGCTCACTTGTGCAGCCAAAGTATATGCCCATCCTGGCCTGTCCTGGTAGATGCAAGTGTGGTGTGTGTGTGTGTGCGTTTGGGTATGAGAGAGTAAGTGAGGCAGAGAGAGAAAGAGTGAAGAGTCAGTGAGAGGTACAGAAAAGCGGCAATTAGGATCTATTTTGAAGAAGACATTCGAAAAACGTGCTATTTGCCTTTTGTGCGCGGCTCAACTTTATC